GTCCGGATTTGGATTTGAAAAACAGGTTGTCGTTATTCAGATTGAATTTTTTCACATTTTCGCCGAAAGTTTGAAAGTTTGATTTTTAGACGCCCACTTTGGGTAGTTCCTACTGCTTCTGAAATCTTAGATATCCTTGACTTCTTGTTCTTCCACGTTGATTAAAAGTGTTGAAATGCAATGACTTTATCAGTGTTATATTCTTTTGAAATGTGTAACATTTTTATACGGTCGTGCATCGGCACGATATCAAAGATTTGGATGTTCCCATCTTGATCTGCGGCGTCTATCAAAGACAGGCACAGTTGTCCAACAAATGATTTATTTCGGTCTCACCGTATGTACAGCATTTTCAACAAAACATTTTGATGAAACTATAAATATGTGTACACAAGCCATTCCACACGGAATTGCGAGAGACCATATTAAAACACAAACACGAATCTATAATTAAGTTATATTGCTAGAAATATACATAAATAAGTACATGGGTAAAAATCTAATCAACGGTGTTTCAATTGGCTACGTACGTTTACAGCGTTAGAAACAGCGAGGGTCATTATTCAACGAGGGTATCTTTTCAATACGTGACCCGGGTTATTTTTCAATAGCAGCCGGGTAATTATTCAATGTTGAAAAAAGACCCCGGGCGTTGAAAAGTGAGTCCGGGTAATAATTCAATGTTGAAAAAGTACCCGCCGGGTACCTTTTCAACGCGGGTATGTTTTCAATCTTACACCGGCATCACTTCAGGATTTTCCCCAAACTCAGCTGGCAAACTCTCACCAACGCCTGAGAGGAGATATTTGCTCAGCTTATATTTGGGTAATTAAAGCTGAAACATGCAAGTTGTAGACACCAGGCAAGGAAACAGTTTATAGAGAATGCCTGATAATGTCATCAATGAGAATATCGACTGAATGAGTGAGTGAGTGAGTGAGTGTGTGAGTGTGTGTGTGTGTGTGTGTGTGTGAGAGAGAGAGAGAGAGAGAGAGAGAGAGAGAGACAGAGAGAGACAGAGAGATAGAGAGGGAGAGAGAGGGTGAGTGAGTGAGTAAAACTCTAGACCTAAAAGTCCCGCAGCCAACGGGTAATACACGAAGTGCTCCGTCAACGCCATTACTGAAAGTGGACTGAGATGTATTGATATAGCTGACATACAGAGTTGTATAACAGCATTATGTAGTGTATAGTTACCAGCTATGAGTGAACTATTCATGATTGTCGATCATTGGTTCACATATGAATACCTTTGAAATGAGTATATATGAATATTGATGACTGAAATAGAAGTGAGATTTATATATAAACTAGAAGAGAAATAAGTAAGTTCATCATTAATTCTGTTCTGTTTGTTGAGTTTGAATTATGACCTACCTGAGAAATGTTGATACATGCTGCCCTCTGTCCTCCTTCTGATGTGTTTGAGAAGGAGAGCTGCGCAATGTCTCACGACTGGCTTCCTTCCAAACTATGGCAAGGTTTTACATTCGGCAAGTACATAATGCACTCCAAATGGTTGTATGATTGGCATCCTAAAGTTGGTCAGTAAATAAAGAAACATACAACCTTATGGATATCAGCTTCAATAACAAGAAGTTGTTATCCATAATCGTATTTTTCTTTATTCGAAATATGTGTTTTCATATTACTATGTCAACTTTACCATGGAGTTGAGAGACTAACAACAAATACCTAAAGTGTAAATGTTGAATAGACGCACGTTAGTATCCTGGGACGGTATTAGTGTGGGGTATCTTTCTCGTTACGTTTCTTCAAACACAGAGTCCATCTGTGGGTTCACAACTCTGCATTCGTGTACATCTAGACTTGCACGAGTCTCTAAGGTATTAATTCATAATTTAAGCAAAACATTCTAAACAAATATAAATAACACTTCGTTTATCTAGAGTTACCCCTTTAAAAGATAGAATTACTATTCATCAATGGGCTTAGCATTCAGGACAGCCTTGGAGCAAGGCTAGTGTACATCTTGTGTATCTAATCACACAACTACAGAGTGGTATGGCAATGGCTGGGTGGCATCTCGGAGGCCATCGTCAGTCAACCTGCCAAACTGTTATCCGAGGATAAGTCTAGGGTCGAATCCTGGTGAGACTGCCACGTGTGGCATGTACAATAGATGTCTGGTCATCAGCGCCTCACCCATATAATGCTTCAGTATTGACGACATTGTGAAGATTTAGATCGATGTTTTTGCCTTAACTCGGGGAATATAACAAGACATTGAACTGCTCGTTAGATTCCACACGATATTAGTTATCTGTATTTTGCAGATTTTGATTTTACGTAATCGTCACAGAGATAAGGAAAATTATTGGAGAGGCATCTGATATGTCTATAACATACTCAAAAATTATTGGGACCGAAGAAAGTAGAAGACCAAGTATGACCTCTACTTACAGAATACAATTATGACCATTAGAGCTGAAATATATATATAATAAGTTATAATGGTTGGAATCAACCGATAAATCACTCTAGCATGGAGCTATATTTATCTCAACAATATGAAAACAAACAATATTCGAAGAATCCAATACCAGTAAACGTTCACAAAGTACTTACAGTGATCGGTAAACACTTCTTTCACGACTTCATTCTCATATGAAGATCGTCTCGACTGGAATAACGTAGTCTGTCTCACAGTCCCCGAACCACATTAATTTCCCTACTGCCAAGCCCTCTCTGCAGTGCTAAAGCCCTAAATAAAGCAAGTCTAGATTTCCTCAGGTTCAGGGGATACAGTTCTGAATCTCTGGTCTCCCTAGGGCTCCTTTTTAATATAAATGGGCTTGTTTGTTACTATCAAAATTATATATATTCAGAGACTAAGCCTTAGTCTAGGAATAACGCTGCAGCGTTCAACCTGACCCAGCTTCTGAGTAAAGGCTATTCGTAAATGTATATTTATATCCAGTGATATGACAAAACATCTGCTGTCGGAACAGTGACAATTACTCACTTTCAGGAAGTGGAGAACTATCAAATGTAACTTTTTAACATGTTTTAGTAGGTTTGCTCAGATTCCAAATCTAAACATATTCTGATACAGATGCAACGATACTTCATCCCTAAAAAATGTCACATCCGGATGCAAAGCCGCACTCGGAGACCGTGGGAACCTATATCTTCATGGCGTGTCGTCAGAGTGAGTTGTCTGTTATTACAACAGGCTAATAGACTTTGTTTCATTGTGTCTGAGCCCATTCTAACTCTCTGGGGTCGAAGTGTAGCCACTGTCTAATTGTTGACATGTCATTATTTTGTATCTGTTTGTGTTCAACCGCCGCCATATAGCTGGATTATTGCTGGGCGCGGAGTTAAACAACAAACCAACCAACCAATGTTTGCGTTCGTTGTTGTCTTTCCCTGAAAAGGAAAGCATAGTTCCTTCACTACAAACAGTTCCTAGTCATGGGTTTAGTTCTCAGAGTGCACAAGCATCGTGGACGGGTAGACTGCGAAGTCGAAGTCACGCTGCCAGCACAGACCAGCATGGGAGTTCTGGTATAACGGAAGTCCACAAGTATATTGTTGTTGTGTTTCTTGTACTTGCTATTCATACATACATTTGTATGTTGTCTAGTATGGGTTTAAGGTGACGTATTATGTTTACGTCTTTGTCGTTAAAGTATCAAGAAGGGGTAGCCTGGTAGTTAAAGCCTTCGTTCGTCACGTTTAAGACTCGGGTTCGATTCAACACAAGCATACAATTTTTGAAGCCCATTTCATCCCGGTATCCTCCGCTATTGCTAGAATAGCATCGATATTTTGGGGATACAATGAAATGCATCAACAAGAAGCGTGACCACCCAATTCCGTTTGTCGAATCTTAGAAGGTTTTCAAGTGTGATTATTTTGTACTTATTAGTATCCTTTTCATCATGAGAGTGTGTTTTTTTTGTAATTTGTATTATCATTGATTAGGTGATAGTTATTATGGGTCACAAAGTTTAAAGTGTTGAGTGTGGGCAATAGTACATTTTTAGCGGTGCGCCTTTTTTGTTAGCACCTCAGAATTGCCTCCTTTGACAACTTGTTGACTTGCCATGGAGTTTTCCACCGATTTCGATAACATTCTGAGTGGATAATGATGCTGCCTAGCTTTGCTAGAATGCTCGAGAACTGTGTAAGAGCTATATAGAGGCTGGTTGTTGAGTAGTGCGACACGGATCTATCACATGACTGGAGCTATACACATCTGTCTGCCGTCATCAAGCTGATACACATCTGCCTACCGTCGTCAGGTCTGTCAACATTTCAAGACCGTGCTTGTCTAATCAACTGGTGTCATTTTAAACAACCTTCAATCAGTTTATCTGCTTTCACTGTAAATGTCAAGACTCTGGTGAGTTAATATTTTATATTTGTGACCCAATATTTTAGATTTGTGACTCAATTGCATTGTACTAGGAATCTGTATTGTCATTCATTGTAGTTTGCTCATTGTTGGCTCAATGTATTATTGAATATTTTAGACTTGTCTGTGTTCTATTTTGCTGGTTTAAAGGGGACTTGTAAACCTTTTGTCACGGCAAATTATTAACTGAACACCTGTGCCACATTGTATGCCGATTGTCTGAACAGCTCCCGGAATTGTATGTCCCCGTGCAAACGTCTATTATTGAATTCACTCTTGATAGCATCGGTTCGGATGGTTAACGTTTAAATTGTTACGGGTGTAAGTGAATGTATGTAAAGTAGACACATGACATAACACTAATTCTGGAACTCGTAATCTCTGTCCTCGGTCGCATCAACGGTACTTTAAATACTAACCTCAATAAGTACCCTTGACTTCAAGGTGTTTCATTAATACATGGATGTCTATCGTTCCGTTAAAGATTAAAGCACAATCCTAAACAAATGGGGGAACTTGCTAAAAGATACAACTCAATAAGAATGGGGAAGAATGTTATTGATACATCAAATACGTTTATTTCCGGTATCATATAAATACACACGAATTTGTCCCACTCCACATTGTTTTCGATGGTGTGGTACCTCCCAGTCTCCTGACACCCGTTTGGAGAGCACACGGGTTTGCTGCCAGGAACATGGTCTGTCTCACAGTCCCTGAACCACATTATTTTACCTACTACCTTGCTCTCCCTCCAATGTTACTGTGGAAATTATATATTTCCAGGGACTAAGCATTAGTCTAGCAGGAACACAACACCTCTGGCACTCTGCCTTCAGTGTTTGGATTGACATTCTTCCAAACGTTTTCTAGCTCGGACTAGGCTGCGCCCCCATGGCGAAGACCTATCCGCTTTCTTGGTTGCTTGTAGGGTGGGCCAGGCCTGATCTGATCGTGAGCCTAACCACCCTGGCTGTCAGGATCATCCGAACATTGACTGGTTTTAATCTTTGTGATAAAATATCACCTAATCTGGTGACTTTTGAGTTCAGCTTGGAATAAGCGATTGAGACTGCTTCGTGACAAGAGGTCGGGAATTCCACAAAGTCTTTGAACGGCACTTTGAAGTGATACAGATAAATTAAAGAAATGAAAAAGTAGGACATAGATAGCTATAGGGTGTTTGGTGAGTAGAAACGTTCTGTAGCCAAAAGATCTTACTTTATTCTTTTCTTTTATCAGGTTTGTTACTAGAACATGTTCAGTAATAAACTTAGATATTCTGGATTTGGTCCAGTCCAATGTAATCCTGTCATATTTCCTGTCTTGTTGAATTCAGGTCAGACAGACTAATAGAAGTACGAATATTAGTAATAGGAAACTTGGGTAAAAGCAAAAGCAAGAATTGGAATAAGTCATTTGTTGCACGTTTCTAAGTATACGTAGCTTGGTCTTTACCTCTTGGTTGCCACACTGACATCTCCATTCTCCTTCATCTCCTGTCCTTGTTTCATTTATGACTGCTACATACGTCTCTCCCTCACTTTTATCTCTATCCAAAGATATATACCCTGGCCTATTACTTAGGCAGCTGCTTGTCGATGTACACGACAGGACGTCTGTGCCTTCAGGATCTTCCAAAGTTATTGACTCGTTACAGGTGCAGCGTAAAGATGTTGGTTGCCCAAGGATTGGACTGTCATCAACGTTTAGGGTAGGATTAGCAGCTGCCCCTGAAGTGAGGAAGCATACGTAAACTGATCACTATTACTTTATAACAATGGACTATCTACACTTATAACAGTTATCTTTAGTGAACTCCATACAAGTCCCATACCTTTTCTGTAAATTGTGTCTTTTTACTTAATTGGTACATTTTTTGCAACCTTTAAGCCAATTCTTTCCATCTACATTCATCTACATTAACATTCGAAATTGTGTTGATAGAAATGTTTAATACAAAACAGTTAAAAGAGTAAGGAATATTTATGACCCATGTTCGCTCTTGACACACTGACTCTGAAGCGTGAATGTCCGTAAATGTGAAATGAGATAAATCCACGTACTTATGGGTTCTGGAGTAGTCAGATCCATGGATGTCGTGCGCTGTATACGTAGCGTGGCCTTTGCCTCTTGGTTGCCACACTGACATCTCCATTCTCCTTCATCTCCTGTCCTTGTTTCATTTATGACTGCTACGTACGTCTCTCCCTCACTTTTATCTCTATCCAAAGATATATACCCTGGCCTATTACTTAGGCAGTTGCTTGTCGATGTACACGACAGGGCTGTGCCTTCAGGATCTTTCAAAAGTATTGACTCGTTACAGGTGCAGCGTAAAGATGTTGGTTGTCCAAGTTGAGCTTCACCTTCTACGTGAAGGGTAGGATATGCGACTGCACCTGTACGATGAAAGCGAATAAACAATTCAATATTGCATTTATATAAACGTTATCATGGATAAAATATGTACCCTTTCTGTTAACAGAAGATGTTTCCAACAATCCTCAAAATTGACTTTATATTTGTAAAGCTGAATTAGATAATTTCTACCAATTATTTAGGACGGCAGGGTGGGACAGTGGTTATAGCTTTCGCTCGCGAAGTCGAAGGACTACGATCGATTCAACCTATGGAACGACACCGAAGCCCTTTTTGTGTGTATGCCGCTTTGGATTTCCTGGAATATTACTAAAAAGAATGTAAATCAAGATTGTCTCACGTAAAGTGACCATGACATGTGTATTTTGAGAAGTTGATTTGATTACCGTTAGCAGTAGTACGATAGCAGTCGATATGCTGTACAAATGTACCTGACGCTGTACAAATGTTCATTACGCTGTACAAATGTACATTACGCTGTACAAATGTACCTGACGCTGTACAAATGTACCTGACGCTGTACAAATGTACCTGACGCTGTACCTGACGCTGTACAAATGTACCTGACGCTGTACAAATGTACCTGACGCTGTACAAATGTACATTACGCTGTACAAATGTACCTGACGCTGTACAAATGTACCTGACGCTGTACAAATGTACATTACGCTGTACAAATGTACCTGACGCTGTACAAATGTACCTGACGCTGTACAAATGTACAAATGTACCTGACGCTGTACAAATGTACCTGACGCTGTACAAATGTACCTGACGCTGTACAAATGTAAATGTACCTGACGCTGTACAAATGTACATGACGCTGTACAAATGTACCTGACGCTGTACAAATGTACCTGACGCTGTACAAATGTACCTGACGCTGTACAAATGTACATTACGCTGTACCAATGTACCTGACGCTGACGCTGTACAAATGTACCTGACGCTGTACAAATGTACAAATGTACAAATGTACATTACGCTGTACAAATGTACCTGACGCTGTACAAATGTACCTGACGCTGTACAAATGTACATTACGCTGTACAAATGTACATTACGCTGTACAAATGTACCTGACGCTCTACAAATGTACATTACGCTGTACAAATGTACCTGACGCTGTACAAATGTACCTGACGCTGTACAAATGTACATTACGCTGTACAAATGTACATTACGCTGTACAAATGTACCTGACGCTCTACAAATGTACATTACGCTGTACAAATGTACATTACGCTGTACAAATGTACCTGACGCTGTACAAATGTACATTACGCTGTACAAATGTACATTACGCTGTACAAATGTACCTGACGCTCTACAAATGTACATTACGCTGTACAAATGTACCTGACGCTGTACAAATGTACATTACGCTGTACAAATGTACCTGACGCTGTCTGCTAGTGGAGGTTGCTGTTACAAATCTGTAACCGTCTGTTGTCTGTTAGTTTGGCAATGTTGTTTTACGACGCATACAGAAATATTCCAGGTATAATGACGGGGGTTTGTAAGTAATCAAGTTTGTAGCAGGCAACCCGGTGATTAATATCATGAGTACGAGTGCGCACCCTCTCAGCACCCCTCTGGATCCGCCCCTGCTGCACAATAAGGACAAGCTGCCATACGTAAACTAACTCAGCGAGCCTGACCTCGATCCCGTCTACCGCCTCATATAGAATCTCTGTCAGTTTAACGTTGCGTGACGAGCCTGTGTCCACCTTGTAATCTATATATCTTAATGTGTGTGCGACGGTACATGAATGTAATGGAAGAAGCACGTTTTTCAGGGCGATAAAGCGATGACATAACAGCGCAGCCACCACAGAAACAGAAACCAAGAGTACGACCACTCGACATACGGCAATACGTTTTTTGCCGTGAGTGAGTGAGTTGGGTTGTAGCAATATCCTAGCAATATCCCGGTTGGAGACAGCAGAAATGTGCTTCACACACTGTACCCATGTGGGGAATCGAATCCGGGCCTGCGGCGTGACGAGCGAACGCTTTAACCACTAGGCTTTCCCACTGCTCCGCTTACTGCTGTGGAATCCGTTGGCAACACACAATAGTCCTAGGCCAAATGTAAGAAATGTGCCTATCTTTTAGGATCTCACAGAAACAGTAAAAGTGTCATCCAGTAATTGGTATGACACATCCCACCCTCCAGAAATTCCTTCCTGGCCACACAATGTATCAGGTCATGACTTTCCACACTGCTTGACCCGCACAGACCTCATGGCTCAGACACAGCATCACATGAAGACAATTAGGATGTAGGTTTATAAGTATCCTGACTGAGCTGAACATTTTAATTACATGAAAACATCGCATTTGTAAATTTCATCAGTCTATATAGCTGATATAGTGTTATGTAGTACAGCCACACAGGAAACAGCAACAAAAACCCAGAAGATGGAGAGTGACTTCACTTGAACAAGATTAAATGGTAAGTTGGAAGTACTTATTTGGAAGTAGTATTCTAAGTATGCTGTGTTTGTACTTACTACTTATGATAGTAACAGACATATGCATCTGATGTCCTTTAATGTATACTTTGTAGTAGTAGCAAAGTAGCTAGCTAGCTAGCATAGAATATGAGATAAAGTGTCACACTTTATACAAAAGGACAAGGTATGATAAAGGCCCTTATTGGCCCACAAAATTTCATGATATTCAAAGTTCTACAACATGATAATTTTAGCATAAAAAATGCTAAATAAATTGTTGAAATTACCTCCATATGTTTTTTTATATGTTTTAGTGCTGTTTTTTCCTCTTTGAAGACCTCAAAGTTAACCTATTTTACAATATCTTCGAAAAACCTGCATTTTCATATTTTCAGAGTGATAAAAAAGTGTGAGCAAAAGCTTGACCCATCCCAATTTTTTCACCACACATGAAGAGAGTAAATTAGAATGCACTCCTAAAAAATTGTGGTGGGTCACGCTTTTGCTCATATCAAAATGTTTAAAAAAGTACATTTTTTCTGTTGTATGAAATTGCCCCATACAACATCTCAAAATAAACATTGGCGTAAAGTAATATCTCTGAAAACTATCCGTCACATTTACACAACTATACCATGATTCATTACTATTTTGAATGTTTTAGAGCACTAAAATGAACTTATCAAACATGTTTATTAAAAATTTCAATATCGTAAGGGACTCTCAAGGCTGATTACTTTGAGGTAAACAAGGGTAGTTTTTTGGAGACCCTGTTGATCACTGCTGGAAAAATAAGAAGACATCAGAAGATTTTTCAAAATATGATCAGGCAGCATTCTAAAGGTGAGAATCTTTGTAATTATGCTAGAATTTTATCATATTTGTTCTATCATCTGTTTAGCAAACCCCTCTGTGTCACCTGTCACTGTCAAATAACACTGGCATTCCACTGGATGTAACTGTGTATAAACATACACATTTTAACAAAAATAATGTACCTTGATGTTTTCTAGGATATATCAGGCTACATTTAATATTGTTAGAATAAGAACATTGTATCAAGGTCTAGCAGATTATGAAAAGCAAGCAGACGTCAAGTGACACATTGTTGCAAAGTGTAATATATAAGCTTAAAGTGACAAATAGTAACAGTAGAATCTGTAGCCTAGTGGTTACAGTGATGGCCTCTCAATTTTTTTTTTCTGTTATCAGACATTCAGGTTCAAATCCTAATGTTTTTTTTCTTTTCTTCTTTTTTTTTCTTCAAAAGTTAAGTTAAACATTGTAAATTGGCTGACAAAACTTGTGCACATGAAATACAAATTTTGTAAAAAATATTTCTTAAGTTTGGTAATGTAAGTTACACTGTTCAAACAAACTTGAATTAACATCATGTAAATCTTGTTTAAGCCTGAAGACACTGACTTTTCCACTTTGTTCCCACACAATAAAGAACCTGTAGAAGGTAAGCATTGTTTCAAAATGTTAGTATGGTAATTTCTTTAAGTAAATATTTACAAACTGTCCAGAGCTGTTAATTAGTGGTGCACTGATCAAACAAATAATTAGTTTATGGATATTTTGTGGGCTGCCAGTCAATTACCGATAACCAAATCACATAATCAATTAAAGCGTTCACCATTTCTTCTTAAAAAATATGTTTACAGAATCAATGACTATTGGTTTCAATTGTCATATTAAAACTGAGGACTGATTACCTTTGTTTTCATGTGCTCTAACAGTTGGTTTTATCTTATATCTATAATTGATCAAAAAGTGGCCTCAACAATTGATTATGCTTTTGGAGGTCAATTCCCTTCCCTATATAACTATACTATTGACATGTTTAGCATTAGAAAAATTAGAAAGCACCAATTTCTTGAACATAATGATAATTCTTTTATGATTTCAAATATTTGTTTTCAGATAAGAGAAATTTGCTTGGACTGATTTCAGGAGTGTCATTTCATGAAGATGACAACTTAAAACTTGAGGTGGAAGGTAAGCATAATATGAGTGCTAAAAAATAACCAATATTTTTTTCTTCAATTTTCTAATTTAATGTGACAGAATTTCAGAAATACTGATGTCTCAGTGGTGATTAAATCTGCATAAGCCTTCAAGGCCAGACTACTGACATTTGAAAATAAATAAGTAATGTTACCCTTGAATAGATTTATAATATCAAAGTTTTAAAACAGAATTTTCTTTTGATATAAAGTCATCTGTTTTTCAGTTGAGAGAAGATCTGGGTATGGCAGACACCAAAACAATATGCCTGTTTCCAGCAACTCTAGTGATACACGGTTGAATGCTGCAGTTCTTGACAGTGATTCAGAAACTGATTCAGAGATTGATGACCATGTGGATGAAGAGTGAAAGTGGATGTTTTATATATCTTTGCAGTGAATGAGTTGTGAATAATTACTTTTTGAAGATTTTTGAATACTGACTTTTAACACTTACTTGGTGTCAAAATCAAGCTGTGCCAAGAATGTAATTTCACCTGAAATAGGCCCCTTTGAGGTCAAGACCTGTGCTTTTTAGTGCAACATGATTGGTTATTATAACAACATGTTGAGAATGAGATGTTTACTGTATATATTTGCAAGAATGTTGTAAATACTGACTTTTAACACTTACATGGTGTTAAAATCAAGCTGTGCCAAGAATGTAATTTCACCCAAAATGGCCCCCTTTGAGGTCAAGACCTGTGATATTTAGGGAAACATGGTTGGTTATTGTAATAACATGTTGTGAATGAGATGTTTACTGTATATATTTGCAAGAATGTTGTAAATACTGACTTTTAACACTTACATGGTGTTAAATCAAGCTGTGCCAAGAATGTAATTTCACCTGAAATAGGCCCCCTTTGAGGTCAAGACCTGTGCTTTTTAGTGCAACATGATTGGTTATTATAACAACATGTTGAGAATGAGATGTTTACTGTATATATTTGCAAGAATGTTGTAAATACTGACTTTTAACACTTACATGGTGTTAAATCAAGCTGTGCCAAGAATGTAATTTCACCTGAAATAGGCCCCTTTGAGGTCAAGACCTGTGATTTTTAGTGCAACATGATTGGTTATTGTAATAACATGTTGTGAATGAGATGTTTACTGTATATTTGCTAAAACCGGTTGTGAATACTGACTTTTAACACTTACTTGTTAAAATCAAGCTGTGCCCAAAATGTAATTAGACCTAAAATGGGCCCCCTGTGATTTTTCGTGGGACATGATTGGTTATCATAAGTACATGTTGTAAAATTGACCTATAGTTTATGTTTGCAAAGAAAGTTGTGAATAATGAGCTTTTTGTAATCAATTGGCAAGTAATTGAATTACTGTCCACAATGTATTGCAACCCTAATTGGGCCCCTTGAAGTTAAAACCTTGTGATTGATGTTGACATGTTTCTTCATCATGAATACCTGTTGCAAAACTGATACTGTTTGTATGTAAATAAACTGATAGTTGTATATAAGTCATTATGGCACACTGATATTTCAGATTTCTTGTTATTTTTCATGGGAACTGATAAAACCCATTTTGGCCCCTCTGCATTGAAATTATGGCCTCAGATCATTTAAAAATAGCTTTTTTTATGCAAAGCCATCTTGTCTCTAAACAAATAACATGTGTTCAGCCAATTCTGTTTGTGGGCCAAAACCACCCTTATCATACCTTGTCCTTTTTATAGTATAATGTTGACTATTTCTGGAAATTTTGAAACACTTGAGGTGAGGATTGACAGTTTCATTAATTGCATGTCACATATTAGGGTAGGGTTGACAATGACAACTTTGACGATGTATGTATTTCATGAGTTACCAGGTTTCTTGAAAACTTAGTTGAAAGTGTTATAACATCCCAGAAACAACCTGTTCAGTAAATTCAGTGGATACCATATTTCACTTAATCCACTGCAGGTCTCCTGAATGGATGAAGCATATCAACATGAGGGTACCCACATCTATTCATGCTCTACAGACACTGACATGTGTTAGTGACACGGACACATTATATTTCCCCTTTGATGAATTTTTGAACTTACTTAAAACAAGTAACAATCCCGAAGACAAAGTTGTACGGAAGGACAACATATGGAACGAACTAAATCGCTACAATTATCCATGTACTCGGGTGAAGAATGCAGTCAAATATGTATCCTTTGAATCCATCAACAGATTTTCCTTCAATCACATTAGTGGTAATGAAGTGTGTGGAACTATCTGTAAACAAGTGACTGATGCTTTGCTCTTTGATGGAAACAGTTCGCAATTACAGCAAGACACTCAACCAAGAAGTACTATACTGGGATTGTATCAAACAATTGCAAGTGATAAACTCTTTAGTGAGGATTACAGCGCTCGCATCTTACAGGTGTTGAACTTATCTGAGTTAGACATTCCATCTCTGTATTGTTGTTATAAGGATAACTTTCAGTTAGATTCCTGGGAAAAAATATGTCTCTTTGAATGGCACTTTCATTTACAACATCCTCAAGTTTCTGATGACCTTTGTGAAGCTGTCAAAGCAAGATGGACATTTTATGATCAGTGCAAGCACAGTGCAGAATTATGTTCAAAACTACAAGCTTCATGTCAAGAAACAATTGAAAGAAACAAGCAGCGCAGAATAACGTCATCATGTATAAACAATATCAGTTGTGAAATATCTGGCGTCACACATCTCGTTCAGAGTTTGGAAGAGTCTGTTTCAGAATTGATAAACTACATCTCTTTTGAAAGTGTTAGAACAGTTTGTTTACCATGCACCGATACTTGCAAACACCTGAAAGGGGTCCATTTGTTCATAGAGTTATTTGAGGAAGCTTCTTCATCAACAGAGTTAGATGATGTGGCATTCCTTCTTCAAAGAAGCATACATGACAAACATAATGTGACAGTTACACAGACTGTCTTTCTTCATTCAAAAACATTAGACAATTATAGATGCCCAAACTGTTCAGTAAATGGATTCCACAGATATGAACTATCACATGATTTCTATGGTGGAAACCTGGGACTTTCCATCTCAAAAGTTTCAAATATCAACTATGGCGATGACGATGTTGATGAGGGATCAACAATACAGGTTAACGGTGACAGGTATTGTGAAAAATGTATAAAAGATGTGCAAAAATGGATTCATCATCCATTGCATTGGAAGGACTTCAGCCTCCTCAGAGAGTGGTATCTTTTCGTACCTCTTCCTCTTCAAATATTGCTTTGCCATTTGTTTATCAACAAGTACAGTGTTTACCTGTCACAAAATACGCAGCAGCTGTTCCAAAAGAAGTTGCAAAGATTGTACTGCCTAACTGACATTGGTCTCAGTACTTTGAGTCAGAAACATGTCGGCATCATAGCAGAAATGAACACTGCTGAACTAATCATCAGTCATCAATTCTCTTCTGCAGTATTTTCAATAACCAGCGAGAGTGGTATTTCACAGAGCATACGTTCAGCTGCAAGGTGGCTACAAACAGAAGCTGATGCAGACAAATGCTTCTATCAAACCTTCATCAAGCAGTACCGTTTGTTACGGGTTAAGGGTTACGGCCTGAATGGGATGGGATCCCACATACAGTTACGAATGTAACTTTAATCGACATTATCGAAAATATTTTAAGACACTCTTGCTGAAATAGTCGATTGTACGATTCCTTTTGTCTCATAAGAATGTGTTTCTGAACGGTCAAAGAGCTCCAAATCTCGGTCACTAACAAAGCATGAAGAATAATCTTTACACAGGTTGTCAGACCGTTCCGATATATCACAGTTCTACACGATCTAAAACTTCATTCACTAGTCAATAATCACTAAAATGTCTGCTTACCCTTAACAGCAAGGAAGAGCAGCGCGATGCACAAACCTGTCCTGCCCATGCCTTCCAAATCAAGTAAATACGCCGAGCTGGATCTAAAATAGGAGTTGGATTGCCAACACGTCATGCTCAGGGGCCGGACATCAACAGTGTCCGTGTGGTGAGATATGAATTACACACTCCAGCAGAACAAAGATGTCTGGTCACCGTTTATACGGATATGAACCCAGTGACGTATTTCTCTATAATGAATAATTTTTGTTACTAAAAGCACCAAATAACTGTACTGATCCCACAACCTGCGCGTATGCATATGGTTATCGGGCTGTGACGTCACAGTGCCGTTTCCCGTTGCTGACACTTCATTCATCTACATAACAATGGAGTCATATTACCGTTTTCTCGATGTGTAGCATACTTTAGACGGGATGATGTGTCCATCCAAACAAAGGTTAACAGTGTCATTTCTTCAAAATTCCAAGCGTATGGACTGATTTAGCGGTGAGGGCATTTCGGATACAGCATAAATGGTATACATATAAAATGATAAATATTCAACCACATTACATACACCCTTTCAAAAGTAAAGTCAGCAGAAATCATATGAATGAAGATGTGTTAGACATCGATAAAACAACGTAGTGTCAAGTGCACATAATCAGCTTCAATTTACATTTCAATAATAATTGTGCATTATATTATCCAGCAACTCCGTCTATGTACATTCACATCGTATAAATGTTACAAATTGTAAATAACAATGTACATTTTGTTTAATATGGTAACTTTCAATATAAGAAATATTGTATATAAATATAAATTTTTGTAATATAAACTATTGTGTGTATGTGTGCATGTATTTAAATATGTATAACATATGTTCATATTCATATAACATACATGTGTGAAAGCATATTATTTCAATATATATATATATATATATATATATATATATATATATATATATATATATATATATATATATATATATATATATATATATATATAATGTAAAACATGTCCATTATAGCTCTGTAGGTCCTGCTTTATGTCCCCATTTTCCCCTTTAAAACACACGTGTCATATGACAATGTTAAATGCAATGTGTACTATGTTGTTGATAAATATATACATATATAATAAATATATAACTTGTAGAAATGTACATTATAGCATATTTGGTCCCGTTTCTTGACCCCCATCTCCCCTGCATTCTTCTATTAGTCTTTATTATTTGTTAGAATTGTCATCCCGCATACTGTGATAGGAATCTTTTCAGGGGTGACAATACTTGCACTGTCTGCGATTGTATATTTTTGTGTTAATAAATATTTTATGCAAACGAAAAAAGTGTCAAGTATTTGCTTCAGGAACTACGTTTTATAGATATATGACAAAGGGGAAAATGGTGTTTTCCATGAGATATATTTACCATCGATCATATATGACAGTCGGAGGAGGGTCTAGGGTTTTTTTTAAACGAAAAAGCTGTTATACAGATATACAGTTATAACAATATAGCGTACATGTTTTATAGTCCGTCAACTGAACTTTTGGCACCCTGTTTTTCACAATTTACCTTTTAACCAAAAATGTTTTTGTGCATACGCTTTTTATATCTTATGACCTATCCAAGATTTAAATTTCATAATTTTATGTCAATTATTAAAGCTTCTTCTTAAGAAGCCATCTTATAAAAATATGAAAAATAGAAGTAGTTATACAAGGGAGTAAAATGTTACGATGGAACAGCCAACAACATGGTGTGACACGCGTGCATCTTGTTTACATTATTACGCCTGCAAACAAATCTACAGGGACTGTATAATCATCATAAATCCATGTTAAACAAGTAGATTCATTGAAGTCTTTAAAGACTGGTTGCTTGATCTTTTGTATCTATATCCAAATTTGAGCAACAGCTTGCATATGGTATGTTTTGATACATTGATGTCATGGTCTTCTTTTGAACAATATGGATCAGTGTAACCGACACATGACGTCCCTCACAACCCTTCTATCGAATTTATCAAGCTTTGTTTTCTCTGCATGTTTTGAGACGGTCCCCGATTTAACTGCCATGTAATCGTCAGGCTCTGAAATAGTGTCATGGGAGATAAATCTTTGCAATATTCTTTTGCAGATCTTCGTGGCTTTTGGAGAAACATTCAATTAAAAAAAGAGGGTTTTTTTCGCTTTGCCTCGTGCTTGAAAAAGTTGTAAACTCTTTTGATGATTTGCCGGTCATCTTTGTATAACATCGTTTTCCCTACAACCTGTGCGTGTTGACGATCTTTGACATCACTTAAGCGTGCTAATGTAAATACCCGTGCATGTACATATCACGCTGACACACATTTTACAGTGTTGTTACACAGCAAAAATAACTTAGTTTCCGTTCTTGCGGAAACCTAATGGATACTGGGTAATGTAGGTTTCCGCTAGTATCCGGAAACAGACAATGCGAGTTTCCGCATAGTTTACAAAACTGAAACTAACAAATCTAGGTTTACAGTGTTGAGAAAATAAAACAATGAATCTTATTGTATATTCTGTTTTTCTTTACGTAAATGTCATGATAATATAATTAAATTTTTATTGTGTTCATTAAAATTCTGGCAATCTGATTGGTTAACTGGGAACATTTCTTTTGACTTCATTTCCCAATGAATCTAAAAAAATAAGCCACGCCCACCGAACCGGACTACTTTCGGACCTGAGGAATGTCGGGGAATACCTTTACACAGCGAGGGAATTCCCTTGCACTCGGGTACCTTAATGAACTTTGGATAAACATTGAAGTGATACATTGTGGTTAACATAAACAAACAACTCAAAATTATCCGTGAACGTTAATAAAGTGTTTATTTAATAAACAAGTTTTTGTCATAATACATTATTTGACTGGTTACTGTGGTTACCACGTGCAGTCAGCGAACAGTCGTCTGCAACTTGTCTTGTTTACATTCCAACAAGATGGCCGATTCCAAGTACGGAAGTTTTGATCTGGGGAATTTTGAGTCGATTTTCGAAGATCAATCTCCCGGAAACGTTGCAACTCTTAGCACAGATAACATTGATTTTCCGGATGATTTAGACCTAGAAGAAATTGAAAGTTTGCTAGAGATAACAGCATCAACCAGATCTACAAAAACATCGGGAGATGACGTGTGCAATGCAAGTCGATGATAAGCCATCCCAAACACATCGTTTCAAACGTTTATCAAGTAATGATTTACTTCGAATGGACGACTACAGACAATCAACATCCACAAAAAGAAACACAAAATGGGGTGTTAAACTATTCCAAGGTAGATATACACAATTCATATAAATATTATTTTCAAATTCCATCCTACGTAGATCTATATTTTCTCAAAACGAAACACAGTTCATCAGCACAAAGTTGTATTTTTAAAAATGGAACAATTATCAGAATGAGATTAAATTTCGTAGATCTAACCGAGAAAAATTTGCTATAAAGTTACCTAGTTCAAAGTTTACATAGTTGGGTCTGTCATAGTCAGGTTTCTAGATATTGCTTTCGTTCTGTTTATTTAGATTGGTCGTTCGAGAGCGAGGGGAGGACTGGATTTTTCAACAATTACACCAGAGGAACTTAACACAAAGTTGAGATTTTTCTACACTGAGGCACAGCCTAAAAACCAGGAAACAAGATGTGAAAATATGCCGGCTGCACATGCTGCCGAGTATCACAAGAACACTTTAAAAAATGTTCGTTCTGCCCTGAAAAGACACTTAAATGATATCGGGAGAGATATTGACATTGTAAGAGACAAACAGTTTAAGTCTGCAAATGATATGCTTGATGCTAAATTAAAGTACAATGTACAACATGGCTTGTCACGTCCCACACAACATAAATCAATCATTGAAACAAGTGATCTGATGAAAATTAGCACTTATCTGCATTCGGCATCCAATCCTGTTATCCTCCGGTACAAAGTATGGTACGACTTGGCCATCCATTTTGTAAGTCGTGGTCTTGAATTTCACCAGCAGCTTACGCCCACATCCTTTGAATTTGCGGTAGATGATAGCAATGTTGAATATGTCACACTGTCCCACGAAACGAAACAAAAAAACATCCAGGGTGGTCTCAGCAGCGATGAAGCGCAAAGCGACAAACGAATGTACGCGACGAATGATATAAACCAATGTCCCGTCAATGCACTTCGCCAGCTCCTTGACAAAAGTGACCCAAATGCCGGATCACTTTTTTCGCACTGTAATAAAGATGCACTTAGTTCTCAAGACGCACACAACATTTGGTATACAGCAACCCCAGTCAAAAAATACCAGTTCACTCGTTTCATGTCTGACATATGTCGCAATGCCCAATGTAGTCAGTCATACACTGCTCATTGTCTTCGCGCCACAGCAATCCAAGCCATGAGTGACGCTGGCTTTGAACTTCGTCACATAATGTTTATGAGTGGCCATAGGAATGAAAGTTCCGTGCGTAGTTATAGTCGCAACACAACGACTACTCAAAAACTAAGAATTAGCGAGACGCTTTCCGCCATTGTAACGCCTCGAAAAGAGCACGTTGGAACATCAGTTCATGGCATCGCAATCTCAGTCACATCACAGCCCCTTTCCACTTGCGCAAATACTGCTGCCACTAACAATCTCAGTTCCACTAACTTCATGTCATCGGGCTTCATTTCCAATTCTCACTTTTCAAACTGTGTCTTTCAGTTCGCTGGTAATAATTCAAATGTTTGAACTTGAAACTTTGCCGTTACCGGAACGCGTCACGTTGCGTTGTTCAACTCTGATTCGCAACCCCGATGTTAGCTTGGTTGATTGACAGCTGTTTGGGGGTGCTCTATGCTGATTGGCTAATGGTTTGGTAGGCGTGTCATTTTATGTAAATGAGTCACCTGAGTCATGTCACGCCATTACCGAATTCTTACACCGAAAATGTTAATCGGTGGTAACAAAGATATCTGTTTCGATGAATTTGATTGTGTTTAAATAAAATATTGTTGAAAGCCTATAGTATTTGTTGTTGAATTTAATTATAAGGATTGACTGTGTATTTCTTTCGTTGCATTGAGGTATGAAACT